CCCCCCCACCCCTCCCGGCTCGCTCCCTCAGATTTTCGGCCTCCACTTGTGTTTAGTGGTGTGGAGCTGTGAGTGATGTGGTTCCCCTGCATATTTCTGCAGCATGTGTTGCTTCTTTCTGCGAGGAATTCAGTGCGTGTTCGAGAGCTACAGATGGGCRCGAGATCTGTAAACATCCTTGTGCTTTTTTGTCTTTTAGCTACTTTTAGCTAACTCGTCCCTGTTTTCATGAATGCAAAATTTTACAGAACAAATGCTGTCGTTCTTATAGAAAAAATCTAGCAAAAAACAATTATGTTGCCGCACTGTTGTGCTGCTGCTCACCTCATTCCAACCACTAACCATTAGCTTTCAGTATGTTTGTGTGTATAAGTAACATTTAGTTTAACTGTCAAACAAATTTGAAGGAAAAAGAAATTTATCAACATGGAGCAAATAAACTCATCTGCAAAGTGACATTAAGTGGAGTGGATAATAGACAGAGCAGAGTGTGACCAGAAACAAAAAACTTGTAGAGCCATAAAAATATTTAATAAAATTTGGGTCTTCATGGATTTGATTGGGAAACATTCGAATTACTCGCAACATACAGTTGCTGTTAGTTCAGTTTATTACATTATCAGTAATTGATCAGTTGTTTGAGTTAAACATTTAGAACCTTTTCAGAAAATGTGTCCATCCAACAAACATTTAAAACCATCTCAATCATTTAATCATGACTTTAGAGATTTTAACACAAAAAAAATTGCCACTAATTGTTTCAAAAATGCATGATGATACAGGCTTCAAACAACAAACCATCAATATTGTTTTATCATGGTCAAAAAAAAGTTGATTTTATCATTTGGTTAAACTTTTATATATTTCAGTTCAACATTCATGTTTCAGACACAAACTGCTATAAATACTGTAGATGCACTGACTGCAGGTGAATGAAGAAAACGATTAAACACCACTATGACCATTTAACCCTTTACACTGAGTTATTTTTTGTGATGCAGGTGCACACCAGCCAAATAATTAGAATCATCCAATAATAGAGATTTGTAAAACCTATGAGAAGAGAGAAGGCTTTTTGATTATGATACTTATTTTTAAAAGTTGCTTAAATTARATTAAAGCTAAAAGTTGATTTTGTTATTTTTTAAACAAACAATTTTGTTGCATGCTTTTACTTAGATTGCAGCTATTGCGGTCAAATTCTCTATYGCTTAGTTAATAAATAACCACTTTAAACACATTCACTGTTAAACTCATACAGTGGGGAAAATAAGTATTTAGTCAGTCACCAATTGTGCAAGTTCTCCCACTTAAAAAGATGAGAGAGGCCTGTAATTGACATCATAGGTAGACCTCAACTATGAGAGACAAAATGTGAAAAAAAAATTGAGAAAATCATTTTGTCTGACTTTTTTAAGAATTTTTTTGCAAATAATGGTGGAAAATAAGTATTTGGTCAATAACAAAAGTTCATCTCAATACTTTGTTGTATAT